ACGGACCCAACCTCACGAGCACTAATACTCTGAGTCGGCCACTCGCGGTCTACAGATTCGTGTTCTTCATAAGCTAAGCCTGACCCGTAGCTTCTAATCCAGCCTGGTCAAACAACAGCGGCGGCGCATCCCTTTCCCGCTATTTTAAAACTGGGTCCGGTCTCTCCCATGCCTTTGATATAACAGAACTTGCGGCGGCTGGCTGTGCCTACAGTCTGACCGCGCGGAGCAATAGCTGGCGTCTGTTACTCACCGCATCGGCCCCCTCCGGGTAACTAGGTGCTCCGCCATTCTGGTGTCCTCCTTCGTCCCGCTGTTGGAGGATGTCCTCCAAGCCTTCTTGGCCTCCGCCGCGCGATTGCTCGCGCTCTGCCATCACTTCGCTGTTACTGGCGACCGATATGCCAGCAACGTCAAATCGCCTTATCTACTTTACTATTGAGCTGGGTCCCGAATACAAAGTAAGTCTCTATTTAAACAATTCAAAATCCCCAACAGACGACGTTCTGACTTGCGCTTGCTTGCACGGTTGACTGGCGAACTAGCGTTGTCTGGATTCAGCGCTTTGTTCCCAGCTAATCTTTGTAACGCACTACCGTATCAGTCACTGTCCTCTGGCCAATTCCGGTCTGCTCCTCCCGCGCCGCACTTGCCGTACTACACTACAGGACGAGCACTTAATCAACATGCATTTTTCGGCCAAAAGATGTACGGCCCTGTTTGGATGATTGGGAAAGGGACAAATGCTTTCCAATTTTTATTAACGACTTGTTGCACCATCACCCGGTTATCACAAGCTACAGGGGAGGTTATCGCGGCTCAGATCATTAAAACCTAGTAGGATGGATACGATCGCAACGAAAATATCCCCTGCGTCAAAATGATTCTTCTGCTGAACTAAAGATGCATCCAGGCTGAACTAAAGATGCGTCCAGGCTCCCGCCGAGGATAAAAATCTGTACTGTTAGCTAAGTTTGGCAATTAGGACGATGTTGCACGTACATTCTTCGCGCGCTGCTATTGGTCCGCACTGTACTGTGTTTAGGTCGGATAACGATATGCAAAAAATAAAAGATTAAAGGGTTGATGCCGTATTTTACCTAAGTTACTTTCAATCCTAGGACAAACAAACATACCGTGGCAGTACGGTACGCTGAAATTATTGAAAGAGGCCGAGTTCCCCCAAACATGAAGGCGACGGCTTGCAAGATTGCCCGCGTACGGCACAGAGCTTTGGATGTAGCAGGTACCGTGGCAGCCGTACATTGCTGTTGGCCATTACGAAAGCTCTTATCGTCGCTGTCAAGGCGCTCACTGCGCTTCAAAGGCTCCGCCGCGGCAGGCCGGTCAAATTGCTGGAAAGCCTCGAGCAGATCCAATCTTTATCCTGAACTTTATCCTGAACGGCTTCGATGTGGTGGCGCTTTTCCTAAAGGCGCACTTACTGTACCTGCAGTCGGCATATGACTAGGCTGCTTTTGCTGGATCCGGAAACCGCCATTTAAATTTCTTGTCTGGAAATGGCGAGATGGCCCTCTGGCTGGGATTGGGCCTTACACTGCACAATGCCCAAAATAAGAGTAAAACAGAGCTCCTAGTTATAGTGTGGGCAGACTGCCTAACTGCAAGAGAGAAAGAACAGCTACTAGTAATTCCACGATGTCCGTGGGATCCGTGTCACCGCGGACCAACCAGCTCACGGACAAGCCGACAGGCTACCGATCAGAACTTAACTTTGCAACTTAGAAGCTCGTGTCGCTTCTTCTTTCCTGATGCGCAAACCGAAGTGGGGGTATTATTCCCTTTGGGTCTAGGGTTCGCTGTAATACCTACTAATATGTCCTATAGCGTTAAAATGGAAAGCTGTGTCAATATGAGACGGCTCGTGAGAAAATGAGTTGGACACAGTTGGACACAGCCGAGCAGCGGGCATTAAGAGCTGCGATTGGAAAGGCGCAAGGCTCCGCCAGCGGGTGCGTGGCCAGCAAAGGATACGAAGCGACCAGACGCAAGCCAAAACGCTGTCGCTAAGTCAGTCAGTCAGTCTGTCTGGAGTTACGCTTTCACCCGGCTGAGGTTCAATCACTCTCATGCAAAATTAGTGATGCGAGCACTGGCGGCGCAGTCCTGATGCAGCAGCAAAGTCGTTTTAAACTGTGCAGATCTTCTCTTATGAAGGATGTTCGCGTTCATGCTTGTATAAGTTTGACTGTCCTGTATATCTTCTAGGCGGCTTAGCTGGGCCGGCCTCCTAGAAACGAGGACACGTACGCAGTAAATAGGCAGCGATCACCAGCAGTCCGACTCTCCAACAGCCATCATACGTAGGGATACATGACGTTGCCAAGATCACTCTCTCCTTAAATTCCTTTATCCCTTCATTCTGTATGCAACAGAATATACCCAAAAGCATGCCATAAGAAAGTACGTAGACTTCCGTAGCTGGTCTGACTGCAAGAAAAAAGGTAGAACAACTTCCATGCGTTCCGGAAAGGCATGTTTTGCAATTTATTATGAGAAATAAATAATATATACATTAAAAATTAGATTTACCGCGTGTGAGTACTTTAGTTTAGGTCTTGCATAATATTATGCATCATGCGACTCGAGGCACGGGCAAAGGGCCAACCTTTTGGGCGCGCTGCGCATTCGCGCTCACCCTACATCCAGCCCCACTCTATATTATTTAAAGTCCTCATACAAATTATTATACAGACAGGATTCTCTATCGCCATTAGAGCTGAAGGGCCACGTTTGGACAACTTGACCCAGATTGAGGTTAAGTACGCTCACATATACTATAACTATACGGTCCTAGAACGAATTGTTCCTAATAATGAACGGAAAGAGGCACCCGGAGATTATACATTCCTCATTCCGCTGCCAGAGCGTTTGGCCGGGATCACATATGTTGGACATGCAGCACGTCTTCGCCTCGTCCTGGAGCGCGCGCGCCGGGGTAAGCATGTGCGCCGCTCTAGTTCAGGCAACCCAATCTTGCGCTCAGGACATAAACTCGACCGAGTCAGCAGGGCTTGTTGGCACGGCCTCGGCACAAACTAGACCACAAGTGAGCAGGGCCTCTGCTTGCGAATACCAACCAACAACCAAGTCCAGCATGCCTCATTGATCCAGCACTACCTTCAAATTCGACAGGACACGGACAAACGGGATTCACCGGCCCCTAATACCAGGTCATCCGACCTGTGGAGGTTTTAGGGTGATCCCACCTAGGGAGCATTTTCAGATGCCAGATGGAGCGCGTGGGCTATGAGTTTCGTCTCACGTGGTATTTTTCATAATCCCAAATCCCTGGGCGCTTTACGGAATCAGCTCTACATTACTGTATAAAGTAGCTTTAGCTTTAGCTAGAGCGCTCGAGCTAGAGCGCTTCGATTGCCCGCACATTGCTCAGCTTATTGTTAGCACGTTGGCACCATGAAATATCTCCGCACCAAGGTATAAAAACAAAAACTGCGTTCCTCTTAAGCGCTTCACCAACACTCTACGGCAGTTGCCGATCGATTTGTCCATGTCTTGCTTCCTCGGGCGGTTGGTGAGCAGGTGAGTTGCTCCGTGTGGGTGCGCTGGGGGGCAGCATCACCGCCGGACAGGGCGTGGGCGGCGCCGACCACACGTACATCAAGCAGTTCATGGATTGGCTGAACCACGTCATGCCGCCGCGCGGACTCAACGGCCGAAACCTGAACCAGATCACGCACACCCAGACGGACCTGCTGGCTGAGGACGGCAGGCGCCGCAGGGGCGGCAGTAAAGGTGCCCATGGCGAAGACGGAGGTAAAGGTGGTGGCAGCAACGGCGGCAGTGGCGGAGTGCTTGCTGTTCAGCGGCAGCGGCGCAGACTCCGAACCTCTGTAAAAGCTGTTGGCCACGAATTTATAAACGGCGCTGTCGCAGGTGAGCTGTCGCCAACTTTCTTGCTGCTGCCAGAAGGGCCCCAACAGTGGGAACTCCCCTGTTAAGTAAGGTCACTATGGCCTTTAAGGGGTTGCTGTGCCAGGAGCAGTCGCCTTTGGGTCCACGGCCACCGAAATCTCTGAAGACTCTCCCTCGCCTTGTAAGTCATTCCCTGATCCCCGTTAGGGCGCTTTGGACCCTTTTCCTTTCCCTGCTACTGCTATTCTTACCGATGCTGAAATTCATACCGCGGCCGTTGCGACTGGTACTGTTTCTACTGCTACTGTTGCTATTACTGCGGTTACTACTGCTACCGTTAATTCTGTTGCTGTTTTGACTCCCGCTGCTACTGCTGCTACTGCTGTTCTTATTGCTATTGCTACTGCTGCCAGGCACGATGTCAGGCTATAGCAGCAGCTGTCTGCAGCACCACCTCATCCCGGGCGCTGATCTGGTCTTCGTGGACTTCGCGGTCAACGACCACCCAACCGCCACTTGGGCGCTGGAAGTGGGTGGGGCAGAGAGGAGCCCCGAGGGAAGGACGACAGTGACATGGGACAGTGACAATTCGAAGGAACTCACTACGAGAAAACCCGAACGCCACAAATAGCAGAAGCTGCTACCTTTAGCTGGCCGCCGAAAAGGCCTCTCTGGGAGATTCTGGGAACGCGCTTTAGCACGTATTTTTACATTTCATGGTGTGTGCCGTACTGCACGACATCTGCTACACCGACTTACCAGGCTTGCCCCAACAGCTTTGCATGGGGCCCCGAAACACGTTCATAAAGGGCCTAGCTGGCTCTTATGCGGTCCTTCTGTGCGTGTGGTCCTTGGTATTGTTATAGCTGCTGTCTCCCTGAACGTCACCTCCACCACCGCCTCCTACTGCTTCCACCTGGTAGCCACGAATAGCAGCGGCAGCCCCTGTGCGGGAAATGAACATTAACAAACTCGAGTTTATCGTTAGTAAGTTAAATGGGCTGGGGCATGGAGATCAGGAGTAGGATAAATGAGTCATAGATAGATTGGGTGGGCAAACACGCAGCCGTCAGGCGCCATGAACGACCTCCGCGCTCTTTCCGCACGCGCAGGGTTCCCCCCGTCGTGAACTGGAGCGCCTGCTTCGCAAGGTGCTCAACCTGCCGTCCAACCCGGCTGTGGTGCTGGTCAACATGTTCGCCATGGGGCCCTCCCACCGCAAGTAAGCAGTGAGGGAGGCAGGGAGGGGGGAGGAAAGCGGGGGACTGAGAGAATGGACCAGGGGTTGGAAAACATAAGGTCCGGGCCATGGGCACAATTGCAAGGTAAAATCCTGCCCGTCTGGAAGCAGCTGCAGGATATTGGTGGCGGATGGTGGTGATGGCGGCGAAAGCGGGGGACGAAACGAGAAATAGTGGCACTAAGGGGATGCGTGTTGCGTATTGTGTTCAGGGAAGGAGGGTTTAACCATAGCGAGTATCCACGGATAACTTATTTCCAAAGGATGCTAATTATGCTTTTCGCATGAACTGATTCGAATCTTTGATCACTTGTGAAGGGGGAAACGCGTGTTTTTACTTCAAATTGTTGAAATAACCCGTAAAACCCTCATGCCATTTTTGAGTTTTAGTTTTTCAATCGCAGAGCCTCCATCCATATTGTTAGACATCATACCTGGGTAGGGCAGCTCTTACAAAAGGGATGAATGCATAGCCGTGCTCACACACATGCGCCTCGTTCTCCTCACGGCAAGTACCCCTTTCCTAGATCCATACACGTGCCATTGGCGTGCCGTACGTAGAACCTGCCCCATGCTGGCCTGACCTGCTGTGGAGGTGACATACAGCGCCGCATGCCATCTATCTATGCGCCCAGTAACGCATCCACCTTCACTGAAACAAGCAGTGCCTTTGTCGTTTTCCTAGATGATGCCTTCACCGCATTTGAGATGGTGAGCAGTAATTGCCGTCTGTGTCACACGCCTTTGCCAATACCAGGTAGGGTAGGTAGGTAGGTAGGTAGGTAGGTAGGTAGGTAGGTAGGTAGGTAGGTAGGTAGGTAGGTAGGTAGGTAGGTAGGTAGGTAGGTAGGTAGGTAGGTAGGTAGGTAGGTAGGTAGGTAGGTAGGTAGGTAGGTAGGTAGGTAGGTAGGTAGGTAGGTAGGTAGGTAGGTAGGTAGGTAGGTAGGTAGGTAGGTAGGCAGGTAGGTAGGTAGGTAGGTAGGTAGGTAGTTAGGTAGGAAGGCAGGTAGGTAGTTAGGTACCTACCTACCTACCTACCTACAAATACATATATGCATACATGCATACATACATACATACGTACATACTTACTTACATACAGATATTGGTACACTGCGGAGCGCGACTTCATGGAGTTCGCGACCTACTACAGCCTGCCCGCGGTGAGTGGCTGGCTGGGGAGTGAGTGAGTGAGGGGTTCTGTGGCAGTAGCAATAACGGATGTGGAATGATTGTTGTGATCGATCGATAAGTCGTTGTTGCCGCCTCCGCCGCTGCCGCAGGTGAGTCTCAAGTCCGCGGTCCTTCCCTCCGCTTACGTGGGGGGTGCGGAGGAGATGTCGCTGGGCGGCATCTTCAACGGCGGCCTCAACCACCCGGGTCGTGGCGGCCATGTCGTCATAGCCGAGGTGCTCATCACGCTCTGCACGGTGAGGAGGGCGGTGCCACTCGCTGTGCCGCTCGTGTGTCGACTTCCTGGACCCCTGGGTGGACGGGCGTAGGGGGAGGGGTTTGGGGGCGCAGCAGGGCGTGCTCTCCCTCCAGGGAGGGGCAGGGCACGTAATAGGGAATCTCCAAGATGGCTCCAAGGGGGGAATTGGGATGGGTCTGGAAAGAAAACATGAGGAGGAGGGGATGGATCTTGTACCTTACGACGAGTGAGAAGCAAACCGTTCTCTAAAGGCTTGAGGCCGGCATTGCAACAATTTCGCAAGAAAGACTATTAGATTACATTTGCCATGAATGCCTGTTTGCAAGGGCTCCGTATGGAATGGTCCGGAGTAATGACGGGTTTCTCTGGTGGGTGCCTCTACGGGTATGTGTAGTCCAACGTTTGGAGTTCTTATTCTTATTGAGAGCCCTCGACAGCACACACACACACACACACACACGCACACCACACCATGCCATGCACATGTACATGTACATGTGGTTACGGACAACGTCCAATGCGGACCGGTGTGGCTCAGGAGCTGCTACAATCAAATGCTAGGTTCTCCGGGGCTGGATGGGGCGCGATGGTGGTGTCGGAGGGGGCGGGAGCGGGAGCGGGAGCGGGAGCGGGAAGGGGCTTCGAGGCCGCGCTTGCGGCCGTGGCGGCACGGCCATTGCCGCCGCCAATGGGCCCCAGCAACTACGAGACCGCCAACAACACGTGCTATATCGAGGATGATCTGCAGGCAAGAGTTTGTAAGGTCACAGTTCTCTGTTTAAGGAATAGGAAAAACATTTGTTCGATCGCATTTGGGTGGAAGGTCTGTCTGTTGCCGTCATGCTGATGACGCATGTGGGGTTGTCCTGTGAATGAATTCTTCGCCGGTTGTTCATGCTTTGATAAAATACCAGCTGCGAAAACCCGCCCATATATGTAATGTTCGTCGCATCGAAAAAGAGAATGTCAATGGTGCTGTACGGGAGGCATGAAGCTGGTGTACGGCCGTGGGAGCCCCTCTCCACATCAAATGTTACATCAGTTTGAGCGTGTCTGTTTGCTCGCCAAGTTCATGGTCACTACCGCGCGTATCAATTCACGCGGCGGGCCAGGGAAACTTGATTTGCGATAAGCACTGTGCTGAGCCACCCTATGCGCCACCACCTTTTTCGGCCACCCTAATCCTTTCCACGATGTTTTTGTAACAAGAAACATCACGGAGTAAGCATCTTCAGCCGCCATCGACAGGTCTCGACCTCACACCACACAACCCAGATTTGGCCGTGTGTGTCTGCCACGTGTCTGCATGTCTGCATGTCTGCATGACCAAAAACATCAAACCTATCCACCCGCACTCGACGAGCCATGCGAACACCCCATGTGGCATGACGCCACCCTCCCTGACCTTTCGCACCCACTTGGACCTCCCTGCCCTGGGGGCTGGCGACCATTTCCTCCCCTCCCTCCCTCCCTCCCCTTGCCCACCTCCCCTCAGGCCCTGGTGCAGCAACCTGTGGATGGCTGGCAGTGGACGGATGAGGGTCGTGGGAAGTGGGGCTATGTGGCCACCGAGCCGGGGAAGACCATAAAGTTAAAGGTACATAAGGGTGGGGGAGGTGGCATCATGGGGGGGTGGGGACGTGGAAATTTGGATGTTAATGCCTGCCTGGCTCCTCCTGTGGGCCTGTCCGCCTGTCTGTCTGTTGAAGGACCTCTACCCTCCGCCAACTAGGTGAACACTCTGCTGGCGGGCAACAGGTCGAGGGAGCACTCGGCGGCAAATATTGTGGTGCAGGTGGGGACCCGGGACCCCGGGCGGAGGGAAATGCTGCAGGTGGTGGTACAGGTGGAATTTTGCTAAGATTTAGGGTGCAGGGCTCTATCCTTACCAAGCCGATGACACGGGATGCTCAGGCTCAGCCGGCGTGTGCTTATTACCTTTAAAAGTTCCCAGATGTAAACCTGCGTGCATGCACGCATCGCCATTCTATATCCACCTGGGCCTCTTCAATACCACCCGCGTCCCCTTTTCCTTGCATGTCGCCCTGCTGTCTCTCCCTGCCGCCCTGTCCGCCTGCCTGCCCGTCTCTCCATCCCTTTTGCCGGCATTGAACTCACTCACTCCCTCATCCATGCCGGCCGCCCAGATCGCGCACCTGCAGAGCTACCGCGGCATGAGCACCGCCAAGGTGTCGTGTGTGTCGGGCTGCACCTGCATGCCCGCAGCCATTGACGCCTTCAGCAGCCGGATCGTCTCCCTGACCGCAATGAAGGACATCAGGGTGGGTGCGGGGGGAAGGGGAGGGGGAGAGCTGTCTGGGAGGGGTACACAGGAAACCTGCGGACTTCAACAGGGTTTCTTTCGTTCCTCGATGTGCAGTATCCTGGTCAGTCTGAAAACGATGCTGGATATGCTGGGTATCCTGGTCAGTCCGAAAACACATGCTGTTCGCCTTCCACGGCTTGGGGCTTGCATCTGCATCACATGCTGCATCTGCACCTGCTTCGGTATTCCGCACCGCACACTGTTTGCTTGGTTTTGGTCAGCACCAGCCGGCACTCTGTTTGAACTCCCCCACGGCAACGTCATTCATTTATTGAGGTGTTCCGGAATCTTCGTTTGCAGTTACACAACAAGTGACGATGTTTCCATCTAATGCACGCATCCACACGACCATACACACACGCACACATACACCCCAAGACACGCCCGCATGCCCCCCAACTCCGCCATCCCCTTCCCTTTCTTCTAGGTATCCCAGCACCCGGAGTGCGTCATTGAGCTGCTGTCCGGAGGTCCCAGTCCGGCGGCACTGCACGCGGAGAGAGACCACAGCAGCGGCAGCGGCCACACAAATGGCAGCCACGGTGACAGTGGCGACCGGCAGGCGGCGCAAGGGCACAAGTTCAAGCTGATGGGTGTCGTGGTGAGCACACGTGTGTGTGTGCGTGTGTGTCTCAGTTAGCGGTGATAGTTTGCGTACGGCTGTATGTATGTGCACTTGCAGTCGCGAGTGCATAAAGCACGCGCATGCATGCTGCACACGAGCGAATATTGGTGAGAGCGATGTTGGATGGTATGCCGTATGGATCTCTCTTTGTGCGCAGTTGCGTTTGCAGTGTCAGAAGGGCGGTTCTAGCGGAGCGTTGGGTCCTGGGGGGGGCCGCCCAGGGAAGAACCCACCATACAACCCACCCCTTTCATAACCCTGGGCCCCTCCTTCCCTATCCGTCCAATATCGGCGGTAAAAAAATAGATCGTCTATCGATCGTGTCCTGCCTCATGATTATATGAGATAGGTACCGCCCATTCCATTCTATACCACCGGGGAGGGTGCGATCATAGGCGACTAAGTACTTTTGTAGATTGACTAGGTTCTTTTGCAGATTACTGTGGCACCCTAACCTTCTCTCTCGCGTGCCGACCAGCATGACGCTTGCCTTCTCTGTCATCTACTTCGCGACTCTGGCCTCTGTGTCCTCCACGACCAATACCGCACCCGCCACATCACGTGGTGGCTTTTTGACACGTGCACAGGTGGGTGAGGAGCCGGGAGCTGCTGCGGGCACCGTGACATTTATCCGCCAGGAAAGCCACAACCTGTGGCAGCGTGTGCGCAACACCGCGGGTCGACTGCTCGTGAGCTTGCGCTTGCACCTGCTGCGATTGCACTAGCTGAGGCGCAACGCTATCTAGCTACGGCACACGGTAAGGGCGCTAAGAGTGGCGCTGGAGTCGACACCACACCATATACGTCTTCTCAGCAGCAACAGCACTGGTTCCTGTATGATGTGTTTTGGTCGTGGGGCCAACATTGTCCGAAGGAGTAAATTGAGGTTCCCGCAGCGGGTCCTAAGAAGCAGAGCTTTGCAGGGACCTCCGTCCCCTGAAGGGCCCGAGGGGGTCCGAGAGCTACAAATGGAAAGCAACTCCATCGATGGCTATCCGCTCCGTGCAAATGAAAAGGCAGTAAGGTGAGCGAAAGCATTGTGATGTGGAGAGGGACATCGTTACAAAGACATAGGCAAGGAGAAAGATTCGTTGGCTGGGAGGATCTGCGCAACCTATCTGCGTCAGAGCTGCGGTGGTCGTTGTGGCTCTTCATCAATCATAACGGTGGGTTGGTCTGTCTGGCCATGCATGGTGGCTCATCATATGCGCACAGTTATATCATCATAAAAAGTGCAATAAGTGGTGTTAAATAAGTGTGTGAGGAAAAGGAACTACCCCTTGGTGCCCCGCCCGGCTGCAAAAGTGTGGTACGCGCGGCACGTGCAAGTATGTATGTATGTATGTATCGTATGTAAGTGTTAACTATGGTGTTGAGATTTGGTCATTAAATTAGCCTATAAGTTGGATATCTCCCAGTCAGGCGCTCATCATTCATGATGGGGTTCACACTCGGGTGGATGATACAATAAGCGATGCCGACGATAGTGCTGCTGATTGCGGGGCCCATGTGGGCAAGTCGTTCGGATTTTACCGCGTGACTCAATAACGCTATCACTCGCCCCTAAGACTTCTCCACGGAGACGCCAACGTGGATGGATTGGCCCTCATTGAGTTGGTTATTACTGTACCGAGTGAATGATGATATGAGCTGCAGCGTGATGACCCGCCCCGCGAGGTGGACCTCTGGATGCATTTCGGAATTTGTATTCGTTTGCACTTTTGTTCATGTTGGGGGGGGAGTGTTTCCTTGAGCTTGAAGACAGGAACATTGTTCTTCTTGATTGCGCTCGGTCGTACACAGTAGTCGTACTTCAAGCAGGTGCGGGCTGGATGAAATGTGGCAGCATGGGTTATTCATTACCCGCTCTACCGATGATTCGTTTCGGTTTGGCAGCATGCAATTTACTCAAATTTTCTACTTGCTCCAGTTGTGTCTCACGACGACTCTGAAGACGAATGGGTTAAGGAAGGGGCCCTGGCGGCAATGAAAAGGTCTTCTAAGGCTTAAGGTTGTCCTTTGGCGCGAGGCATGAGCGTGCGGGCAGGCGCCAGGCAGGTCGCTGGGGGCCCTTTTCATCGCATGCGCAGCGCCGCCTCAACACCTGAGGCAAATAACTAGCTGCTGCCCTGTCTGTCCGTCCGTCCGAGCGTCGGGTGCGCTGTCCGTCAGTCAGTCATACTTTTACCTGGCTGGGATGTGACCGATTTCCTGCACGGACTAATCATGGCATTGGTGCAGATCCTGGTTCAACAGCAGACCGCTGGAGGAGGTCGACAGCACGACAAAAGTTTAGCTCTGGTTTGGTCGTTAGCCGTTGCTTCCAATCTCGGCAAGTAGTAGGTGGATCTTCGGCAAGAAGTCCGTTGCGCGAATTTCGACGGCGGTTGGCTTCTTGGCTGGGAAAACAGCGACCAAGGCATTATCAGCTCAGTATGGATGGTTTGTGCCCAGGTTACCCAAGGCACACTTTGTCGGCACTAATGCATGCAGGCTGCAGTTTAAAATGCAATCTCAAAGTGAAGCGCCGTTGGGCGAAGAGTTCGTAACTGCCCAACATTTCCCACCGATGTAAGCTCACACTTTCGGCTACTTATACCGCATGATCTGACTGATTGGCTGCGCATGCATGATCCAGGATAACAGACGCACCCGCCGTTTTCATTCAATTAGGATTACCAAACGCGCGCCACTATCGATCTGCATACCAATTTAGGTCACCATGAAGGACAGAAATCTTCAACATCGTGCATCTTCGCTAGCTATATTTCATTACGAGCAGCGAAAGACCAGTACGACTTACATCAACGTACAGCACCAGGCGGGCGAGCCTCGTTAACACACAGTAATATTGAGTGACCTTGTAGAAATTCAGCATCCTTTATGTGAATTGAAACTATTAATTCTGTCATCGGTGCTGCTTCATGAACGTACGGCAGTGACCGTACCGAGTTATCTCAAGTGCTTACCTGCCAATAACCTTAGTCAACACTCCAAGGCTTGTGAGGCTTTAGTGCTTGGCCTTAAGCATATCCCAGCACTGCAGCTGTCGGCATGCCAAGGCTGTCAGGCCAGACCAAACACCTTGACTTGTCCTAGGAAAATTAGATAATACCATTTACTTAAGTGAGGTGCAATCATCTTACAATAATCCTAAGCTATGAACCTGCTCAGAGTACTTGTTGTGTTACCGCTTGCAAGCCTTTGCCATGCTCTTTCATCTGATGGACCCATTTTAGACAATTTAAAAGGATCAGAAGTGAAGTATGCTCGCTTATTTTGGGATTACAATGTGACGGAGGGGTTGATACCAGGACATCAAGACAGCGATTCGGGCGAGGGCGGAGCCGCAGGAACGGGCTACAAGTTCATGATTCCTCTTCCGGAGCGTTTGGCAGGCTTAACATACATTGGGCACGCAGCTCGGCTTCGGCTCCTTTTGGAGCGGGCGCGCAACGGTGCGAGGTCAAAATTTTTGACTTATGTTCAGGCTCGTGCAATGAATTATTTATCTTGTGTATCTCCTTTCCGATGAAATTGTGATGGCTTTGGTCTGTCAAGGGCTTGAATTTGAGAATTTCAGTTGCTGTTGAAATTAGAACTAAATAGCCCTAAGGATTGGCGAGCATCAACGAACCCCTCGTCCATATCCTTGTTTTTTAATCAATTTATAGGCGGGGCGCAGGCCTCGGCGTTTGTTTAGCCTCCTTTCGACGACCGATTTTTCCGGTGATCTTGTTACTTTTGATAGGATTGAAATTTATTGGAGGAATTTAAATATGGAGAATGCAACTATGTCCGTCCGAACTATTTCTATCCCCACCCGCTACCATTTTCGCAAGCCGCATGTTTGTCTTCAGTCCCAACTGCCATTCGCACCCCCAGCTCACCCGACCTTGTTTCCTCCAATCGTGATCCTGCACAGGGGAAAGGCTACGCGTCGGCGCCCTGGGCGGCAGCATCACTGCCGGTCATGGCGTCGGTGGCCAAGATTACTCCTATGCGCGGTACTTCATGGACTGGCTGAACTTGGCATTCCCCCCGGATAAAAGCACCCGACCCTCCATTATGAACGATACCAGCAAGCATGACTTCCTCAATGGCGCTGTACCAGGTCAGATGGTAATCATGCCGGAGCGGGTGTGGCGAAGTGAGAGGGAGGGAGAGCGTCCACGAGCGCTAGGGGGCCTGGTCTTTCTGGGAGGTTCCAGTTCTCCCTCCGGAGGGCCAGTCCAGGCCTCTTCTCATAATATCGCCTTCATCAGGCTTCCTGGTGTTGCTAGTACTGGGTCGCCCTCACGCCTTACACTGCGGGAACAAAGGACAGAGAATCACCTCTTCCGAGAACGCGAGGACTGGGTCTTCTACCAGAGAGGCTCTGGCAAGCAGCAGCAGCAGCGGCAGCGGCAGCGGTGGCGACACTTACAGCCTCTCATTGCGCACTGCGGAGCGCGCTCAGCTATGTTGGCGGTCAGCTAGCATGTTGGCCCGAAGCAATAGCACGCTCCACTTGAATTTGCAAGCTTTCTCCACAGTTTTGGGACCCCAGAAAAGCCCGGGCGCCCAGCCCCCGTGCCTCCCCCCGGCAATCCAAGGCGTCGGCAATTGGCTCTTTGTTTTTGGCTGCGTATGATCCCCCAATGCCGCAGTATCAGCTTCGTTTCAGGGGAGGCCGCAGCAGCCGCCTGCGAAGTACCCTCACTAGGGGCGTGTAGCAATCGAACCAGCCAGCCAGCTTAAGGCTAAGGATGTGGACAGGCCACATAGACCAGTGTGCTGCTGCAGTTGGCACGGCGGTCACGTACAATACGCGAGCTAGTCGTGCTCTGCGTTGCGTTGCGTTGCTGCCGCGCCACAGAATCCTGCAAAGCCAAGCTGCTGCTCCACTCGCTTCGTCTCGAATCTCACAGCTAGTCGGGCGGGAATAGGATAGTTCCTGTTATTGTTTTGAATAATGTTATG